CCATTCTCCTGGTCAGCACTCGGATCAGCCATGGGGAAGTCATTAAACTCTGAATCAGCTTGACTCCAATCATCGGCCTTTTTACCTCACCCTGGGCCTTCTCAAGTCTCTTTTCCTCGGCAACTCTTCTCCTCTTCTGTCTCTCTGTGGCAGCCTCCTGTCTCTTGGACTCCGGAATATCTTGGCTAGAAATCATGAGAGCCCTATACTGCCAGTCTTCTCTCTCTGTGCTTTGACAAATGCCAGTTCGATCACAGGAATCTTCAGTTCACGCTTGCAAATACAGGAGATGTGGGCCTCGGATTTACAGTCACGATCGCATCCAAACTCAGGACAGAGAACAATTGGGCACTTGCAAGTAATTATGTCAAATAACTGGTCCAGTTGCTTGGCAAAGCTGTCCTTAACTGCAAGTTTTCCTCTCCCAAGAGAGATATCTCTTGCCTTTTCCCAACTGGCTAGCAGTCTCTCACTAATCTTCTTCTGACTTGTTATGACTGGAGGCTTGAACTGAGCGTTAGCCAGAGTGTACTGTGCCAAGACAGCTTTGGTCATATCACTGGCAATGTCTTTGTTTGTGTAAGTTCTTTGGTTCTTTTCACTGATTTGCCTGATTAAAACACCGTATCTCAAAGCATCTCTCAATGTAGGCAACTCCGACTTCAGGAGCTCTCTCCCAGACCCAAGATAGTGACTGAGATGGCTGGATTTTTGGTTCCTCGTCCTGACACAAGCAGCCATCGCAAATATTATCAACTTATAAATGCATCAGAATCTGAAACAGAAAAAAATATTGTTAGTTGGGTTGTTAAAGAATGAAGTCAGAAAGCAATGTTCACTATTTAATTGTAATGCACTAATGCAGCTGTACGTTAGATTTTCGATAAATTTCACGCTAAAATTTACCTAGCAAAAGGTTGCAAAATATTGAAACTGAAATTATTTTCTGTTTATATACACTAACATCTACCAAAAAGTGATGTGCCATTAGTTTTAGCTGATCTTCCCTTCTATGACACACCCTAGTGAGATATGGCAAACAATGAAAAAGTGCTATGAATTGTCAGAGGTGTGTCATGAGTTGTCATGAGTGTCAAGACAGTGTCAGGAGGTGACCCTGTATGGCACCAGGTCTTTAGGGACCACCAGCACAAGGTAACTAACTACTAATACAACTGTTGTGTTCTTGATATGTTAAACAAGTTCTCGTAGTCATTTATTTGGCATACACTAATGCTTAATATCATTGGTTCTGTCTCAGTTGTTCCTGTAAGTTAAGTGTGAATAATCATATAGGTGTGTGTGGTGGCGGGGGGGGGGGGTGGAGGTACGTCAGGTCATCTCAAGTGGATCTTTTCCTTTTCCTTTTCAGGTAAGTGAGTTAAAACAGCTCCTGGAGGGACATTAACACACCATATCTCAGGTACGTCCAAGTTATCATATTCATTGATTATCGTTTTATTCATCAGCTAAGTCTGGAGTTCTTCGCATCCCACAACAGTTTTAAAGGAACGTTACGCTTCTCCCCGCCATCTTTAAAGACGTCAGTAGCCCTCCTTTATCAACAAGTCAACGTGATGCCCACTCTTTCACGCGGGAGTCTGACCCACTCCTTATCCTTACACTGTCTTTGTGGTCGCATGTGTTCCCATTGCTGTCTTTATGAAAGTTTCCCCATCCCCTTCCCCCCCACGCCGTCTTGTTCCTTGTTGACCGACGTTAAATTTCTTAATCTCAGTATTCCTCTCGGACCAAAAGTTTGGGGATATACTGTACAGTGTAGTAATAATACTGTCCGTCCGTCCGTGATAGATTTCGTATCCACTCGGTAACTCGCCACAGACGTAATGGATTATTTTCATTATTAGTGTGAAAGCTTAAATAATGGCAGTGTCTTACTGGGCAGTACTGGACGTGTTGATTGTTCAGTATTTCAGATATTCAAGGTTGTCTTATTGAAAAGGTGGGGGGCTTTAGAAAACGACTTTGTTTTATGTGGGTAAAGTACTTAAAATGTTTCATTATTTCTATTGTAAGGTTTTAATGAATTAAAAATTAACAGTATTTACGGGAACGAATGAAGCCACTTTCAGTACACAAGTAAAATTAATTATTAACAAGGAATATGTTCCAGGGTAGAAATGACAACAAATTCATTTTAAAATGGTTAACATAGAACATTATTGAGTTATATTCAGCCACCAAGCCACTGTGGTGTGAAGGCCTAGCCCGAAAGAGTAAGCTCCTATCCCAACTAGGCTGAGCATGGGCGGATCAAGGAATATCAAAAGGGCGGGAGGGGAGGGGGGGGGACATGGCGAGCACAGCGAGCCCACCCAGCTGAGTTTTTTTTTTGGGGGGGGGCGTTGTAATCCCCCCCCCCAGATTTTTTTTTAAATCTGACATTTTGAGGCCACGTGCACTTGATATTAGGAGATGTTCTGAGGCCAACAGCAATTACTTTTACTACACAAAACCGCCCGATTACAATACTGCATTAAAAAAAATTTATTGGAATTTTCTGAGGATGGGGGGGTCCGGAACCCCTAGATCCGCCCCTGCTAAGCAAAGTCGAAATGGTTGCTAAATGTCGTTTACCAGTTACCACCATCACAGCTCATCCTTAAGGCCATATTATAGAATGGAGAGGTTTAACCTTTATCTTCTACAATCTATTAACCCTAACACAGGCAACATTGTGTCATTTCCTAATATAGACACTTACATCAGACATCCCTCGCCACTCTACTGGGTGTGTTTTACAGCAACAACGGAGCGCTAGCATCAGGAAGTGGTCATAAGAACACAAGAATGGAGGAATCTGCAGCTGGCCTATTGGCCCATCCTGGGTAGTCCCGTTTACACCAAGTCCCTATTACTAGTATATCCGTCCAACCTATAATTGAAACTACCCAGCGTGTTCGAGTTAATGATGAAGTTCAGTAACTTGGTCCACTCATCCACTACTCTATTCCCAAACCAAAGTTTACCTATCTCGCCCTAAATCTAAATTTGTCTAATTTAAAACCATTGCTACGAGTTCGTTCTTGGTTGGATAGTTTAAGTTCTTTTGTTATATCTTTGTTTAACCTCGTCCTCCATTTAAATACCTCGATCATATCTCCTCTTAATCTACGTCTCTCGATGGAGTGCAGATTCAGATACTTTAATCTATCTATACTCAAGGTTTCTAATGCCCGGAGTTAGTCTTTTGATTCTCCTCTGCATGCTTTCTAGGGATTCGATATCCATTCTGTAGCACGGTGACCAAAACTGAACTGCATAATTCAAGTGAGGTCTCACAAGCGCAAAATATAGTTTTTGGGTAACCTTGCTAGTCTTGTAACTAACACTCCTTTTATGAACCCACGTACAGTTCAGTTCAGAACTTCATTATACACCTGCGGTAAAGGGTGCATAGACATTTTCACCCTTCCTGGATGTCAGGTCACTACGCCGACCCTCCCACCAACATGCAGAGTCGATCTTTACTGTACTTACTTTTATCCTTTTCACCACTGATCGGCTCGTTAGCCGCTTGGACGATCTGGCACGTCTCTGTTACGCACTGTTGGCATAGTACTGGGCATGCACCAGCTCCTGAATGTACCTGAACCTGCTCCAGTGTTGGTCAAGTCTGGTCTTGAAAGAGCTCACACTCGGTGCCGACATAACACTTTCTGGTAGATTGTTCCAAGAGTTCACAACTCTCACTCCGAAAAAGTTTGCCCTCACAGTTTTCTGAAACTGCGGCTTCTTCAATCTTGAGCTGTGACCCTGTGTGGGGCGAGCGTCCGCCAGCTTGAAGTAAGGACACTCGACTGAATAGTGCCCCTTGAGATGCTTATACACCTCAATTAGGTCGCCCCTTGCCCGTCTGTAGTATAAGCTATGCAAGTTCAGGCGCTCCAATCTCTCAGGGTAGTTTAGGTGCCGAAGTGCAGGCACCAGTCTGGTGGCCCTCCTTTGAACATTTTCAACCAATTGACAGTCCCTAGCATATCTCGGGGACCAGACGGGGTGACAGTACTCCAGATGGGGAAGCACTTCACTCTTGAAGATCGTTACGAGGGACGGACCGTCTAGACATCTGAATGACCTTCTTATAAGACCCAATAATTTATTTGCCTGATTTACCTTCTTCTCACAATGGCCCGAGAACTTCAGCTCATTGTCAACATACACACCTAGGTCCTTCTCACACACAGTCTCATACTGCAACTGACCTAACCCACCTCTTCGTTTGTTGGTGTGACACCAGTGTGACACCCTGGTGTATTCCTCACAGTTTCAATATATGGGCCAAAGTATTATTGTTGTACCTGATTGGGGATAACTAGCAGAAATATAGTTATCCCATGTTGAGTATTGAACCCCTAAATATTGATGTTACCAGTAATAACGTTTGTTATGTGGGTTGTGAGTACAGACTGTTTCAGCTAAAAGTATACATATTGCAGATACACATACACATTACATCGTAAATTCAAATTTACAGACATTACATATGCTGGCTCTTCAGATAATATAGAGAAAGGACGGTGTCTACTTACAAGGGAAAACAAGTCGCTTCGAGTGGGTGACTTAAGAAAGTCTCATATGAATCAGATGACGAATGTTAACTAACATGTACTATTAAGATCAGTACACATGCGTCACCTCTAGCTAGTTTATATAACAAGCCCTGGGCTGCTGCTTATGTGCTTCACACAAACGGATGCACAGCTAAAGCCTGACACTTTTCTACAACATGTGTCCGGCCATGAGCTCGTCTCTGTGACTACTGTGAGAACACCACATCAAGATGATTATATTTTGGACAATATGTTTTGGTCAGCATCAAGCTTGCAGTGGAACACGCTGGATTCATCACGAGTTTCTCAGACATAAGAATGAGGAAAGTCGGTGAAATAAGCTGGGATGGAGATTCTGCGGGTGATCTGGAAATTCTCTTTGTGATATTGTATTTTTTGGGGGAGAATAATAATGCACGTACCGTATGTTTTTTTTATCATTTACTGATATCATTAAAAATGAACAGCTAGTCAGAAGTATCAAATTCACATACGTTTTTGCGTTCAGTATCAAGAGTTTAGGCATAAGTCGGGGCTGGCTGGTAGGTTTGGGCAGGGAGGCTGTAGGAGGGCAGGGGTGCAGGGTACTGGGCTGCACCCTCATAGGTCACCTCGGCCACGTAACCGGCCTCGCCGTTGACAGTGTAGTTCACCTTCTGTAAACGACCGTCGGGAAGCAGCACGTAGTAGGAGCCCTGAGTGTCGTAGCCGTCTCGGAGCTCCTGGTGGCCGAAGTAGTTGCCAGAGTAGTCTTCCTTGACTTTCCAGTTGAAGTCGTATTTAGGAGGGGCCTGAAAATCATTATGTAAAACAGTTTGTCTCATACAAAATGTTTACCTAATAAACCAGATTATCACATCTCATCGTCGTTATTTTAGCGAGGGAATTCACTAAACAAACTTCGAGAAAATTAGGATTATGCTTCAAGCATCAGGCCTTTAGTGGTAAACCATCTATGGAATTTAACTCACCAGCGGTGTGGGCGGGTCATAAGTAGTGGCAAGAGACGAGGCATTGTAGGTGGGATCTGGAGATGGGGCACTGTAGGTGGGGTCTGGAGATGGGGCACTGTAGGTGGGGTCTGGCGATGGGGCACTGTAGGTGGGGTCTGGAGACAGGGCTCTGTAGGTGGGGTCACTGGCGATGGGGCACTGTAGGTGGGTCTGGCGATGGGGCACTGTAGGTGGGGTCTGGAGATGGGGCCAGGTGGGGTCTGGGGATGGAGCACTGTAGGTGGGGTCTGGGGATGGGACACTGTGGGTGGGGTCTGGGGATGGGGCACTGTAGGTGGGGTCTGGAGATGGGGCACTGTAGGTGGGGGTCTGGAGATGGGGCACTGTGGGTGGGGTCTGGCGATGGGGGCACTGTGGTGGGGTCTGGGGATGGGGCACTGTAGGTGGGGTCTGGAGATGGGGCACTGTAGGTGGGGTCTGGGATGGGGCACTGTAGGTGGGGTCTGGAGAGGGCTGTAGGTCTGGGGCACTCTGGGATGGGGCACTGTAGGTGGGGTCTGGGATGGGGCACTGTAGGTGGGGTCTGGAGATGGGGCACTGTAGGTGGGGTCTGGAGACAGGGCTCTGTAGGTGGGGTCTGGGGATGGGGCACTGTAGGTGGGGTCTGGGATGGGGCACTGTAGGTGGGGTCTGGAGCACTGTAGGTGGGGTCTGGGGATGGGACACTGTAGGTGGGTCTGGGGATCTGTAGGTGGGTCTGGAGATGGGGCACTGTAGGTGGGGTCTGGGGATGGGGCACTGTGGGTGGGGTCTGGGGATGGGGCACTGTAGGTGGGGTCTGGAGATGGGGCACTGTAGGTGGGGTCAGTAGATGGGGCACTGTAAGTGGGGTCTGAAGACAGGGCTCTGTAGGTGGTAGATGGAGATGGGGCACTGTGGGGTCTGGCGATGGGGCACTGTAGATGGGGTCTGGGATGGAGCACTGTGGTGGGGTCTGGAGATGGGGCACTGTAGGTGGGGTCTGGCGATGGGGCACTGTAGGTGGGGTCTGAGGATGGAGCACTGTAGGTGGGGTCTGGAGATGGGGCACTGTAGGTGGGGTCTGTAGATGGGGCACTGTAGGTGGGGTCTGGAGATGGGGCTGGGTGGGGGTAGATGGGGCACTGTAGGTGGGGTCGGTAGATGGGGCACTGTAGGTGGGGTCTGAAGACAGGGCTCTGTAGGTGGTAGATGGAGATGGGGCCTGTAGGTGGGGTCTGGCGATGGGGCACTGTAGATGGGGTCTGGGGATGGAGCACTGTAGGTGGGGTCTGGAGATGGGGCACTGTAGGTGGGGTCTGGCGATGGGGCACTGTAGGTGGGGTCTGGGGGTCTGGAGACTGTAGGTGGTAGATGGATGGGGCACTGTAGGTGGGGTCTGGGGATGGGGCATTGTAGGTGGTAGATGGCGATGGAGCACTGTAGGTGGGGTCTGTCGATGGGGCACTGTAGGTGGGGTCTGGGGATGGAGCACTGTAGGTGGGGTCTGGAGATGGGGCACTGTAGGTGGGGTCTGGCGATGGGGCACTGTAAATGGTGGCAGGTTTAGGAGCATTGTAAGTGGTGGCAGGTTTAGGGACATTGTAAGTGGTAACAGGTGTAGGGGCATTGTAGGTGGTGGCAGGTGTAGGGGCATTGTAGGTGGTAGGTTTAGGAGCATTGTAAGTGGTGGCAGGTTTAGGGACATCGTAAGTGGTAACAGGTGTAGGGGCATTGTAGGTGGTAGGTTTAGGAGCATTGTAAGTGGTGGCAGGATCAGGGACATTGTAAGTGAGGGCAGGATCAGGGGTATTGTAAGTGGTAGCAGGTTTAGGGGCATTGTAAGTGGTGGCAGGTTTAGGGGCATTGTAAGTGGTGGCAGGTTTAGGGGCATTGTAAGTGGTGGCAGGTTTAGAGGCATTGTAAGTGAGGGCAGGATTAGGAGCATTGTAAGTGGTGGCAGGATTAGAGGCATTGTAGGTGGTAGGTGTAGGAGCATTGTAAGTGGTAGCAGGTTTAGGGGCATTATAAGTGAGGGCAAGATGAGGGGCATTGTAAGTGGGGTCAGGATCAGGGGCATTATAAGTGAGGGCAAGATGAGGGGCATTGTAAGTGGTAGCAGGTTTAGGGGCATTGTAAGTGAGGGCAGGTTTAGGGGCATTGTAGGCGGTACGTTTCTTAGCATTGTAAGTGGTAGCAGGCTTAGGGGCATTGTAAAAGGTAGCAGGTTTAGGGGCATTGTACGTGAGAGCAGGGTCATGGGTATTGTAATTGGGGGCAGGTTTATAGGTTTCATATGTGGGAGTAGCTACAAGGGCATTGTAGGTGGGGGCAAGCCCAGGAGGAAGATAGCCGAGGACAGGTGCACTGTAGGTGGTAGTTGTGTCACCATATGAAGGGAGTCTTTCAGCTCGGGCAAGGGTGACGACCACAAGAGCGGCCACTACAAGAACCTGTTAAAAAATAATAATTTAAATATAAGATCCGCTTCACACCTGTGCTCTATTTCACTAACTTGAAGGTAAACCAGCAGAGAAACTTGGTTGTAGAAATCTCTGAGATACTGTGAATACTCCGTGAAAATGTAAGACTTGTGTTTGTGTGACAATAGGGAGACGCACCTTGCAAGCCATTGTGAAGCTGTGATGGCTGGAGACAAGTAAGGAACTGTGGTGGCCACTCCGTTTATAAGGTGGCGGAGTGCCCTGAGGCCCCGCCCACAGCATACCATAACCAGGAATTCCAACTCTATTTTGCTGTGAAAGAGAAAGTTTATGCATCAAAAAGTGGAATGTGAGGTTGACTTCAAATGTTCGATGTTACAAGAACACCAGCGAATTTGAATTTCACTGAGAAACTTCGTAAATGATCTGCTTTGGCTGAATCTATAGACGGTAACTGGAATAAACGAAATGCCCTTTTGGAACACGCGCGTGTATCTGTGACACCGAGGGAGGGAGTGGGTGGGAGGGAGTGAGTGTGTGAGTGAGTGTATGGGTGAGAGTGAGTGTGTAGGTGAGAGTGATTCAGTGTGTGGGTGTGAGTCAGTGTGCGGGTGAGAGGGAATGAATGAGTGTGTGGCTGGAGGGAGTGAGTGTGTGGATGAGAAGATGAGAATGAGTGAGGGCGTGGGTACGTGGGTGAGTATGTATGTGAGTGTGCGCATGTGTGTGTGTGGGTATGTGTGTGCGTGTGTGTACTTGTATGTGTGTGAATGTTAGATGTGTTTGTGTGTTCATGTGTGTGAGTGTGTGTAATGTGTATTTGTGAATGTGTGTATGTGTGTGGCGACCTGTGGTGTAATGGTCAGTATGCTCGTTTCGCAAGCGAGCGGACCCGGGTTCGACCCCCGGGCAGGGTGAAACTATGGGCAAGTTTCTTTATGCCATTTGCCTCTGTCTACCCAGCAGTATAATTGGGAACCTCGATGTTAATCGATTTGCGGATCGTATTCCGGGGTAATGGTTAGCCAGTGCAGTTGGCGAGTTTTCCGGTCTTCTCGAACTATCACTTGACACTGGGTCATGCAGCTCGTTAACTTAGGGTGTGGTTGTTGTGTTGGCGATAGCCTTAAACAAATTCACGCCGAGGTGGCTCTTGAGCCGGCCATCCTCGTTACACGAGAGGGCAACCATTATAATAATGTGTGCGTGGGTGTGACAACGTATCATAAATAATGCATACATTTTCCTGGTATTATACATAGGTGCCGGACAGGAAATATTTAACAGGACACCTCACATTATTAAGTTCCTCGACTATTTAAGGGTGCACAAGGTCAGTATTCTACTCTGGCGGGAATTTCAGAGACGTTCAGTAGCTTATATAATACTATTCAGATATTATCTCAGAGTTAGAAGCTAGCTATGTCATGATTACAACATAAAGTTTAAGTACAGTGACGCCCCACACGACAGCACTATTAGCCACCTCTACTAAAGTGGCCACCATGAAGTTCAGTGGTATTTGAGCTGGATTTATTGAGTTTCTTTCCCAAATTGATGGGAGTCACGTGTTGTATATCTAGGTAGCAAAAACTATGCCATCACCTGTGCTTGTGTGTCATAAACTCGGAGACATATACTTTAAGCCCATCTTTTATCTACTTAATGAGACTACCGTTAGAACGCCACAGTAGGAGGGCTTCCTGTGTTATAAGACAAGACAAGACAAATTTATTTGGCTCAGACTTTCACAAAGTATGAAGCACAGCTCCTTATCGCAACACTCACATATCATAATAACTATTTAAAAATACTACATTTACATTATCAAGACATGATAATAATTATTTGAGTAATTCCTTAGATATTTTCTTATGAACTACAGTACAGTATCTCGTTATCTACCTAAATATATCTATTACAAATTTCACAAACACAGCCAAGTTACAGATACAATAGTTTGTTGCATTAATTTAGCAAATTTAAACGATTTGGATGACTTCTATAAAAACTTAAAATAATTTTCTTCGTCCAGGGTGTGTCACCACTGAATTTTGACGTTGTCAGATACATTGTGAAGAGCAACAAGCTTGGTTTCAGGCATGTGTGACTTATAAACCATAAGTATATGTATTTATACATTTACTGTATTGATAATATGTAATTTGAGGGAGAGGGATATTCATTCATTTTTATTACTTCACGTTTAATAATAGCATTACAAGAACCGATGTCGTTTGAAATACTTAATTCTTCGGTACGAGTTACTACATTCAATATCTTGACTTAAACTCTAACCGTAAGTCGGGGCTGGCTGGTAGGTTTTGGCAGGAGGGATGTAGGAGCCGGCGTCGCCGTTGACGCTGTAACCAGGAAACTGCAAGTAGTAGCAGTAGCCCCGAAGTCGTTGCCGGTGTAGTCGTTCTTCATGGGGTACTTGAAATTGTATTTTGGAGGGGTCTGAAAATTAAGTTATTTTAATACCCAGCTGGTCTTCCTCGCCATGAAATGTTAATAGATAGTAAATGTGGCTGTTGAATTTTGCTGTTATTATCGTCAAATGGAAATACACTGAAGAGATTATGAAAGATTTGGAATAATTTTTACAAGTGATTAATTTGTTGATGCGTAATGCGTGGACTTAAACTGGAGCTGGGGTATCGATGGGCGGAGTCGGGGATGGGACGTAAGTTGGGACAGGAGCTGGGGCGTATGTAGGGACAGGAGCTGGGGCGTATGTAGGGATAGGAGCTGGGGCGTATGTAGGGATAGGAGCTGGGGCGTATGTAGGGACAGGAGCTGGGGCGTATGTAGGGATAGGAGCTGGGAAGTGCATGTAGATAGGAGCTAAGGGTGTAGGGATAGGAGCTAGTATGTAGGGGATAGGAGCTGAGGTGTATGTAGGGGATAGGACAAGGGCAGGGGATAGGAGCTGAGGTATGGATAGGGAGCAGTGTGGTGGGGAGGGTAGCTAAAGTATGTAGATAGAGTTAAAGTATGTAGGGACAGGAAAGGGACAGAGCCAGCATGAGATAGAGCTGGGGCGTATGTAGGACAGGAGCTAAAAGGCAGGGGATAGGAGCCAAGGTAGGGATAGGCTGGGCGGCAGGACAGGAGGCCAGTATGGGGACAGAGCCAGGGACAGGAGGAGCTATGTGGGACAGGACAAGGGACAGGAGCTGGGCAGACAGGCATGTATAGAGCTAAGGGAGATAGGAGCTTAAAGGGGGGACATGGGACAGGAGTATGTAGGGATAGGAGCTGAGGGACAGGAGCTGCATGTGTAGGGACAGGGATAGGATGGGGCAAGAGACAGGATTGGGGCGTGTAGGGACAGGAGCTGGGGCGTATGTAGGGACAGGAGCTGGGCGTATAGGATAGGATAAAGGCAAGTGTAGGACAGGAGCTGCAGAGCTGGGGGGCGTATGAGGACAGGAGCTGGGGCGGCAGACAGGAGCTGGGCGCATGAGGGGACAGGAGCTGGGGACAGGAGCTGGGGAGCAGGGACAGGAGCTGGGGCGTATGTAGGGGATAGGAGCAAGTGTGTGTAGGAGCAGGGAGCTGGGGACAGGAGCTGACATATGGTGGGGATAGGAGCTGGGTGAGGGGATAGGAGCTGGAGGCGTGGGGATAGGAGTTGGAAGGGCAAGGAGAGCTAGGACAGAGCTGGGGCGGCAGGGACAGGAGCTGGGCGTATGTGAGGGGATAGGGAGCTGGAGGAGTATGTACAGGAGCTAAGTGCAGGGGACAGGAGCTGGGGCGTATGTAGGGACAGGAGCTGGGGCATATGTAGGGATAGGAGCTGGGGCGTATGTAGGGACAGGAGCTGGGGCGTATGTAGGGATAGGAGCTGAGGCGTATGTAGGGATAGGAGCTGGGGCGGAGATGGTGTTATATCGGGTGAGGGGTAACGATCACAAGGGCAGTCACAACCTGCGGAAAGAACTGCTTTAGTTACAAGTTTCGTCTCACACAAATGCTCTATTTCACTATGTTGAAGGTAAAACAGACGTTATGAAACTTTATCAAGGCTTCATGAAACTTGCAAGACTTGTCGGTTAGGTATAAACAGGAAGATGCACCTTAAGAACCATCGTGAAGATGTGATGGTTGGAGGCAAGTGAAGAGCAATTTTTTCCAAGTTTAGAAGCTCCAAAAAAGTTGTTGGTAGCGAAAGTCAGAGCGGGGAAGATGACAGAGGAAGGAGCAGGAGGTTAGGAAGGGAATTGTAGTGGGAGAGACAGTGCCGTGGCTTTACACGACTGCGTTTATTTGGTTAGCGCAGAGCGCTGTTGGATCCAAGCCATTTATAGTAGCTTAGTGTCTCGGGCCCTGCCCACAACTCGGCACCTCGTGGTACAGGAGGAAAAAGACGCAGCTTCTTGTACTTGCCCTTTGATACTTCATGTTAAGTGAAGGTAATTCCTTTACCTTGCATATCCGTTGTTCATGAACTGAATATTTATTTAGAAAAATTTACTTTCATTACATTTCCTGACTGAGATATAAACTCACATTATACTACAAGAGCTGGAAAAAAAATTACACTATTTTTTTTTCACTATTAGTGGTCAGCAGTCATAGAGTAACTTATAAATTTACTTTATTAACCACGATGTTGGTTCTCATTTAATTTATCCGAGTAAGGAGTAGAGGCAGAGAAGGAAAAATTGGGGGTCTCCTGAAGGAACAACAAAGGAACATGACTCACTATCATTGTGCCTTTTCCTGAAGCATAATTACTTCAACCCAAACCATATTTTTTTGGTGGTTTTTGTGTAGATAATAAAAAATTACTATGAGTTTATTTCCCTCATTATTTAGTACGTGTCAAGAGTGAGTGTTACTGAACAACCGAATAAAGTTGGGAATTTAATGTGGGATAATTTAGGATTGCAGCTTGTGTGTTCATGATGATGTCATGTAAAAGAGAAATTTATTTTTTATTGTGTCCCTGTACAGAGAAGAAGCTTGATACTTGCCTGTCCCGTGTCTTCATCCATAAATCCTTTACTGAAAGGCGTCAGTTGGAGGTCTAAACTGGGTGTAGTGCAGGCATCTATCACTATATTCTTAAAGTTACCAAAATTTTCTGGCCAGCATCAAACTGGTAAACGACTACATTTGATATATCATGAAGTACTGAATATTAAAATAAGTGGTGTGTATTTTTGGGTGGGAGGACATTTCGTCACCAGGTAATTCTATTGAATACTGTGCAATAATTATAAATTTAGATAACTATATCTTTACTTTGGACGGGGTGAAGCCATGGTTAAGTTAGGTTTACACTAATTTTAATTGTTTGTGAATAAATGTTAAACAATAACAACGCCATTAAAAGTTGGGACTCTGACGCATTAATGGAGTTTAGACCTTCTTTGTAACCAACACCAACGAAAAACTTAACATTTATATACCAGTGAGGAAATGATCAGGTGATAAATTGTCCAGTGATGGGTTGTCCCAGAACCCTGTTTGATATCACACAATTCGAGGAATAATCATACATAAATGCTATTTCTTTTTTTTTATTAACATTGTTATAAGAAGCAAGGTTTATTATCAATATATAATTCTTAAATATGGTTATATCATTCTGCTGAGGTTATGCGCAAGTCGGGACTTTATTATTTATGTTTTTTACATTGCATTATTTGATTTGATTCTTCTTATCTTATATTTTAATTCAGCGACATATGATTTAAGCTGCTGTTTCGCCAGGAATGTATTTACCACAATCAATCACTCAATCAGGGATGGCTAGTAAATTTAAGCTGGGGGTCCGTAGACAGGAGCTGGAGCTGGGGTGTCGTAGGGCTGGAGTGCTGGGTACTGAGACTCACCCTCGTAGGTCACCTCGGCCACGTAGCCGGAGTCGCCGTTGACAGTGTAGGTGACCCTCTGCTTGCGACCGTCGGGGAGTAGCACGTAGTAGTTGCCTTTAGTGTTGTAACCGTCACGGGACTCTTGGTGGCCGAAGTCGTTGCCGTAGTAGTCGTCCTTCACGGCGTAGCTGAAGTCGTATTTAGGATATGCCTGAAAATCAAATTACATTTAACCAGGCTGTTAAAGCTGCTGTTATTTCACGAGGATATTCGCCAATGTTTCAAGAGAAATGGGATTATCATTTACATGTGATCAATTTGTTGACAGACGATGTATGGAACTCACCAATAGTGCGGGGGTGTCATAGGTGGGGGCAGGAGCTGGGGCACTGTAGATGGGGGCAGGAGCTGGGGCACTGTAGATGGGGGCAGGAGCTGGGGCACTGTAGATGGGGGCAGGAACTGGGGCACTGTAGATGGGGGCAGGAGCTGGGGCACTGTAGATAGGGGCAGGAGCTGGGGTACTGTAGGTCGTGGCAGGAAGTTTGTCAGGCACGGCGAGGGTGACCGCCACAAGGGTGGACACTGCAAGAATCTGTGGAAAATTTATCTTAAATGCAAGTGTCTTTCATACATGTACACTATTTCTATAAAGTGAAAAGGTGAATTTGGAATGAAGAATACTATGAAGACTTCATGAAATTTCCAAAAGACTTATTTCTGTGTACAATGTGAAGACGCACATTGAAAGCCATAGTAAAGCAGAGATTGCAGAGATGGGTGCAGGCAATATGAGGAAGAGAGTTGGACAGTCACGTTATATAGCAACGGAGTGACCCTAGGCCCCGCCCACAACATGATGTCACGAGGCTGGAAGGAGGTGGGGCTTCTGGTATCTTCAAGGGCACGTTTACCTTGATGTCTCATCTTTATTCGGGGCGTTTTATTCCATCTCGTCGACCTGTTTAAGTGAGAGCGATCTTGTACTTTTGGGCTTCACACACGCACATTATATATATATATATATATATATATATATATATATATATATATATATATATATATATATATATATATATGCAAGTAAATCACTGTAGGTGCACGTGATCCAGGTATATACTGATAACCACAAGGAAAAAGAAAAGACGAAGTTCCCAAGCGCTTTCGTGTAATTCACATCTTCAGTGGTGAGTACAGACTAGAGGCAACTGAATTACATATGTTTTTGTTGAGATTGCCGGACCGTAGTCCGACACGGGCCTTTGCTTATAGGCGGCCCGTTTGGTGGTTCCGGCTGGAGCTCCTGGAGCAGCCAGACCGGATTGGGATTGGAGGTTGTCCTACCTGCAGATATGGAAGGATACTGCAGGTTGCAAGTGTGAGAGGACCCCCGATCAGTGGACGCTTACCACCAACCCCCACTCTTGGACGTGGTCAGTTTCGGAGTGGCGCGCCCCCCGAACTGGGGTCCGCACCTGCTGGGAGAGGATACTTTCTAAGCTATCTGGGTGGTGGGTATCGTGTGATGACCCGGAGAAGGTGGTGAATGTGGTTTGTTTGGGCCTTTCGGGTTAGAGTGGCCGCTGGTGTTGTGTGTGCTTCTTGGGAGTTTTGTTTTCTGTTTCGGAGACTTTGTGTGACTTCGCAGTCGAGGAGATAGTGTTCCAGTGGGTTGGCTGCTGGCTCCTGACAGTAGGTGCATTCCATGACGTCATTTCCGATCATCTGCCAGGAGCACTTGCACCCTAGTCGTAGTCGATGAAGGCTAACTTGGGTTTGTCTTAGTGTTTTCTTGTCTGCGAAAGGTGGTTCCCCTTTTGTAGCCGCCAGGTACCATTTGGCAGATTGGGAACCAGCGTTAAATGCGTGAAGGAAGCTCTTTTTGATGTGGAGCTTGCTAGTCTTTCTGAGGTGATTCTTGATCTGTTGCACACTTGCTGGAACTTGAATGTGTACACTACTAGAGCGTGTGGCTGCCTTGGCTGCTTCATCTGCCACGTCGTTTCCCCCGATCCCTACATGACTGGGAATCCAGTGTAAGACGACTGGGCGGTTTTGTCTTTGAATTGCATAGACAGAGAGAGGTTTAAGTACACAGGGTGACCTTACTAAATATGAGGTCAGGTCATAAACATGACATCCACTAACCCGCACACCAACACCACCACACACACAAACAAGCTTAAAAGAAATGGCGACGTGAATAGCCAAGTTAAGTCAGGTAAAAAATATGGGACCCACTAATCATTTATCCTACATCTAACTCCTATGCTTTAAAAGCATTTTTAACCTTGGGCCACTGACAAATAAATTTGTGTAACATATTATCAGTTTTGTACTGACCATCACTAAGGTTTATAGAATTCAATTCCCTAATCAAACTAGCTTCAACCAGAAGTCTTTCTGTGACACATGATGATTTAAGAACATTAGAAAATAAGAATGGAGGAAACTGCAGCGGGCCTATTGGCCCATACTGGGTAGCCCCATTTACACAGAACCCCTATTACCTATGTTTGAAGGTATCCAGCGTATTCGAGTTAATGATGATGTTTGGTAACTTGTTCAACTCATCCACTACTCTATTTCCAAACCAATATTTACCTATTTCGCGCCTAAATCATTTGTCTAATTTAAAACAATTGTTACGAGTTCGCTCCTGATTGGATAGTTTGAGTACCTGTGTAATGTCCCCTTTGTTCAGTCCTGGCTTCCATTTCTACACCTCGATCATATCGCCCCTCACTCTACGTCTCTCGAGGGAGTGCAAATTAAGATGCTTTAACCTGTCTCTGTACCCAAGGTTCCTAATGCACGGGATTAGTCTTGTCATTCTCCTCTGAATTCTTTCCAAGGATTCTATATCCATTCTGTAATACGGTGACCAAAATTGAACTGGGTAATCCAAATGGGGTCTCACAAGCACAAGATATAGTTTTAAGATGACCTCGCTAGTCTTGTAACTAACACTCCTTTGTATGAACCCAAGTACTTTATAAGCCTTGTTTCAAGCAAAAACACATTGTTTATTTGGCTAAAGAGTCCTACTTATCATTGCTCCTAAATCTCTCTCGCAGTCGGATTTCTCAATAACATCGTTGTTCATCTGGTATCTGGTTTCCATGTTTATATCTCCTATACTGAGTACTTTACATTTGTCCATATTGAATCTCATCTGCCATTTTTCAGACCATTCGAAAAATTTGTTTAGATCTTCCTGTAGTTTTGCGGAGTCCCCGTCAGATTTAATTACACGTCCAATTTTAGTGTCATCAGCAAATTTACTTATGTTGCTGTCTACACCGATATCTATGTCGTTTGTGTATATAATAAATAATCATGATCCGAGTACTGAGCCTTAGGGAACGCCACTAGTGACGGTGCTCCAATCGGATTTAGTGCCGTTAATGCTCACTCACTGTTTCCTGTCCTGTAACCACGCCCTAATCCATTTTAGAATATCTCCTTTAATGCCATGAGCCTCCACTTTTCTTATTAGTCTTTCGTGGGGGACTCTATTGAAGGCTTTGCCCCTTGTCCACTGAATTGAAAACAGATGAAATGAATGTAAAATAGATTAGATTAGACATGAACGCCCTCTTGCGAAGCCATGTTGGGAATCATTGATCAACTTGTGCTTCTCCAGGTGATTTTGAATAGAGTTTGAAATTAATGCTTCCAGTAATTTGCCTACAATTGATGTTAGACTGATTGGTCGGTAGTTAGCGGATAGTGATCTATCTCCCTTCTTGAAAATCGGTATTACATTCGCTATCCTCCAGGATTCTGGTACTACACCCGTTTTTAAGGACATGTTAAACAACTTTGCTGAGGGCATACTAAGCTCTTCCTTACATTCCTTTAATACTCTGGCAAATATCTCATCGGGACCTGGTGACTTATTAGGCTTTAGTTTGTCTATTTGTTTACTAACATCGTTACTAGTCACTACTATCTCGCTTAATTTATTTTCATTGCTATCTCTGTATAGAGTCGGTGCCACGGGTATCATGTTTAAATTTTCGGTGGTAAAAACTGTTGAAAATTATTTATTCAGATTATTGCTCATTTCTCTGTCGTTATCAGTTAGCTCGTCGGTATCTGACTGTATTGGTCCAATCTTTTCTCGTGTTTTAGTTTGATACATTTGATAGAATCCCTTGAGGTTTGCCTTCGCCTCCCTTGCTATCTTCATTTCATTATTCCTCTTTGCTTTTCTTATCTTGGTCTTAACCCTACTGGGCAATACCTGATAATAATCTCGGGGGTAAACTTCATCACGATTTATTCTCCTACCTATAGCCCTCCTTTGTCCAATAATATTCTTTAAATATTTATTAATCCATTTAGGGTCATCATTGTTTGATATAAGCTTTCTGTATGGTATGTTCTGCCTTTGTGCATTAAGTAACTCATTATTTAAATTGCTGTGGAACTCGGCAACTCAGATCTCGTTATTAGGCCATCCTCAACCGTCGGGTCTCCATGTAAGGTGAGGTCGCCCTCTGTGGGTACATTGTGTGAGGTCATGTAATTCACCCCCAAGTGTGATACCCCTTCTCTCAGGTGCCTCTTCAAACTATCAAAGTTTGCCCTTCTGAAATTTGGGACTTTAGTGGAATTTTCCTTGCGGCTGCCCTGAAATTCTAACTGGAATCTAATTTCTTTGTGACCGCTGTTAGCAAGTTCGTTCCGTACCTCGACAGTACTAATGAGGTTTTCTCTGTTTGACAGAACTAAATCGAGTATATTATTACCCCGGGTGGGTTCGTTTATATGTTGACTTTAGGAAACAGTCCTGGATTGTTTCAAGAAAGTCCTCTGATTTTGAGTTACCCATAAGGTCAATCCAATCTATGTGGCTAAAGTTAAAGTCGCCTACTATTCAGTCTTTGCTCTGTATGGAAGCCCTGTGCATTTCATCCCAAATAGTTGCTCATTAACTCTATCAAGATTAGGAGTTCTATATATTACTCCAGTGATTAATTTTTCTCTACCATCAATAATTCTATCCAAATTGTTTCTCTATTCCGCTCTGCTTTTATTTCCTCTTTTATTTCACCCTTCAGTTTATCCTTGACATAGATTGCTACTCCGCCTCCTTTCATAATCTGCCTTTTGGTATGGAATGATTTGTAACCTGCAATTTGGTATTCGACAGGTAACTCACGTGAGTCTAGGTTTATCCATGTTTCGGTGAATGCTATTATATCGATTTTTTCGGTACATACCAACGCCCTGATTTCATCCATTTTGATTCTCATACTTCTACTAGTTATGTAGTAGACATTTAAGTTAGTTGTTTTCTGAGTCCTCTCTTTGTCGCATTTAGGTTTTAACTCCTTACCTAATTTAGATTTGTCATAATTCTTAGCACTATTTCCCTGTAACCTTTCACTCTATTTACCCTCTCCCAACTGCAGTCTCCTCCACCTTCTTGCTCATATGTTCTCCTTGCAGTTTAAAGACTTCGACATCTTTTGAACTGCCCTCTCGAGAGAGCCAGCCAGAGTTGCCACCCCATCCCTAGACAGATGCAGGTGTTACTCGGTCTTAACGAGCTATGTGAGTCTGACTGGCGAAGAATGTCGATGGAACGTTCCATTTAAAATTGCTTATAATATTAAATGTGAATCTAAATACAGTGTTATGGTACATGTGAAGGCGTGATGTAATGTTTGTGCTCTCTACTATGTACACAACTGTCTTGTTAATATGAAAAATGAACAAATATTTTTCTGGGTTACTCCCCTATGATTTTATGTTTGGTAATAAGAAAAAAATACCACTGTATTTATGGTTTACTTCACTTTAAATCATTAACTTTCTGATTTAAATGAAAGTGGGATTTGTACTAGAGCGGTAGAGTGCTCGTGTCGGTTAAGTATTCAGAGCGCCTCTTTCTTCAGACAACCTGGCCTCGGTACCTTGTTTAGTTAAACAAACAGGGCTCTTGTATACACACACATATATATATATATATATATATATATATATATATATATATATATATATATATATATATATATATATATATGATAACATCGGAGCATTAGCTTTCGTCTTTATTCAAGACGAAAGCTAAGGTCTCTATTCATTTTATCAAGATTTATCTTATCCACGTTTTCATTGTGGATTTACATGAAATATATATATATATATATATATATATATATATATATATATATATATATATATATATATATATATATATATATATATATATATATATATATATATAGCGAGTATTTGCGGGATAGTCATACATAAAGGTTACTTCATATTTAATAATATTATTACATTAAAGAAGCTCACATAAAATACCCTGTTCTTAAATACAAGTTACTATTACCATCTATATCGAGAGTCTAAGCGTAAGTCGGGGCTGGTTGGTAGGTTTGGGCAGGGGGGCCGTAGGTAGGAGCTGGAGCTGGGGTGTAGGAGGGCTGGGGTTCTGGGTACTTAGCGTCACCCTCGAAAGTCACTTCGGCCACAAAGCCGGAGTCTCCGTTGACAGTGTAGTCCACCTTCTGCAGACGACCGTCGGGAAGCAGCACGTAGTAGGAGCCTTGGGTGTCGTAGCCGTCACGGGTCTCCTGGTGGCCGAAGTCTGTGTCATAATGGTCCTTCACTTCCCAGCTGAAGTCGTATTTAGGAGGAGCCTGAAATTAAATCACAATATGAGTTATTTGGTCTTATGTTTTGTGTAATATTTGTAAACAATAAACAAGGCTGTTACATCTCTGTTGTTATTTTCTCGATGATCTTCACCAGAAAAATATTGAGAGAATTAACCAAACCTTTACTCGTGATCATTTTGGTGACAAAGTATGTGTGGCACTCACCACTGGTGCGGGGGTGCCGTAAGCTGGGGCAGGAGCTGGAGCACCGTAGGTGGGGGGAGGGGGTGGAGGAGGAGGTGGGGCACCGTAGGTGGGTGGAGGAGGTGGGGGAGGGGGTGGTGGAGGAGGTGGAGCACCGTAGGTTGGTGGAGGAGGAGGTGTTGCACCGTAGGGTGGAGGTGGGGGAGGAGGAGGTGGGGCACCGTAGTTCCGGGTAGGAAGTTTGTCAGGTCTGGCGAGGGTGACCGCCACAAGGGTGGACACTAAAAGAACCTGTGGAAAAAACAGTGTTAATACAAGATCTACTTCACATATGCTCTTTAACATTGACCTGGAGATAAACAAGACCAGACCCTGGAAGTCAAATATCGATGAAACTCGACACTTTTACAGAGACGCCACGAAAGTTATAAAACTTTTCTCTATAACAAGAGGAAGGCGCACCTTGAAAGCCATAGTGAAGCAGTGATGGTTGATGGCATCTGAAGAACAGAGTTGACCGCTCTTATTATATACTGCAGTAGTGGAGTGATCCTATGCCCCGCCTAGAAGGAAGAGGCGGGGCTTCTCGCACTTTCACGGACATTTGACCTTGACTTTGTTTAGTTTAGTTTCATTATGATGTCGCTCACCTGACATGGTCTGGAAGTTTGATGTATTTTATCTCTAATCTCTTAACATACAGATACAGTGTATATATACTCTATATACTGTTTACGTATATAAAGTGTGCAGGTATTTGCAGTCAGATAGGTGTTGATCCTCCGTTTCTTAGGGTTTATTAGGTGGCGGGTAGGTCACTCCACTATAACCATGGCAGGAGGTTCGTCTACACAAGGGTTGTTCCACCATCAACTAGTGCACCTGATAATGTACTCAAGTATTACTGAATATAGACGGGTTAACGTACCCATGTGCAGTCGCTCAAAAACTATCTTTACAAAAATTATGTTAGACAATATGAGACAGCGGATTAAGGATTTTGACAACCCTCCAGAGACAACAAGAGTCACAGTTTTCATTCTGAAAATCATCGATCTCCCTCCCCCCAAAGATAGATTTTGAGCGACTGTTACATGGAGGAAACTCACTTCTCCACTCTGGTCGTGAATCGAACTCGTGGTATTTCGTTTGTTTAAGTATATTTGAGAAGAGTAAATAGTTAATTATATTATTTTAATGTACTGAATTATCTATATATATATACCAAAATAGAGGTTTAGAAGACTGAGAATAAAAGTATTATTTTCCGACCTGCTTCACCTGTTACGTGGGACAAACCTCTGGGGATTTCTTCAGATCGTTTCTTTTAATTTAGGAAAGATTTGCTCACTTCGTTTTAATGACGCAAGCTGCCGGGGTGAGTTGGAGTTGACGGAAATTTTTATTTACAACAAATATTTAGATTACTTGTTGGTTATCGGCGTTGAAGTAGACTTTGTTTGATCATTTTCCGGTCTGTGAAAAACGAAATGTCATGCCTATGGGACCCACTTTAGTTCTCAGTATATTATGAATTTAACTGCACTTCCCATACATATATTTCATGTTTTATTACTTAATATTTTCCTGAATTTTATCACTATTATTTATTCAAATTTTGTGGTTGAGTTATGGGAAGGTTGGTGACAGAACCTAAACTTCTAAAGCCAAAAATCAGACCCCTGAATTATACTGTATGTGATAGTCCAAGAGCTGCAGTATATTCAGGTAATATGCTGCAGCTAAGAGTAATTGCATCATTCCTTTCACTTAGATGACTTGATTAGTTAGGGCCTCTGTATACTAGAAGTTAATAGAGGATTCATTGAACTGGGGATTAGAAATGGCATCAGTATACCGTAGGTGAATGAGGTCTTCACAAATCTGATAGTTAAGGGCTTCATTATACTGGAGGTTAGTAAGGGCTTCAGTATACTGGAGGTTAGATGAGGCTTCAGATTACTGGATGTTATTAAGGGCTTCAGTATACTGGAAGCTCATAGGAGCTTCAGTGTACTGGAGTTTAGTAAGGACTTCAGTGTTCTGACGGTATCGAGGGCTTCAGTGTACTCGAGTTTAGTAAAGGCTTCAGTACACTATTGGTTAATAAGGGCTTCAGTATATTGGAGTTGATTAAGGACTTCAGTATATTGGGGGTTAGTAAGGACTTCAGTATACTGGAGGTTAATAAAGGTTTCATTGTACTGAAGGTTAGAAATGGCTTCAGTATACTACAGGTGAATGAAGTCTTCAGTAATATGATGGTTATTAAGGGCTTCAGTATTCTGGAGGTTAGTAAGGGTCTCAGTAGACTGCAGACGAATAATTAAATTGAAACAGTTGAATTGAAACAGTTTATTCAGCCAGAAAAACACAGATACAGAGTGGATAATAATAACAACAATATTAACATGGCTGAGCCAGTTGAGAACCTGAGCTCTCTTTTAAGCACCTGATATATACTAAACATTTATCTCACTGAAGTATTATGTAACATTTAGTAACATCTGGAGTAGTACAATAGCATGGTGGGAATAAGAACATCCCATAATTTTACAATGGTTATCACTTCAATATTTATTAATTTTATTTATTTATTATTTTTTTTAGTTTATTTTTTTATTTGTTTATATATACATACATTACAGTGGAATTGAAAAACATAAGTATATTGGGGGAGCAGTACAACATGGGTTGTACAGTAATAAGGTTGAACAAGAGGACAGAGCTGTCAGTTTTATGTCTAATTGGCAATTATGTGTATTACTTATCTATTTACATGATAATTTCCGATAAAATGGTTTTGATGGTACATAAAAGCAGGTACTGTATATATAGTAGATGTTACAAGAAATATTAATACTTAGACAAGCGACATTTTTTAAGAGATGATTTAAAGGAAGGGAGCGTAATCTTTGCTCGGATGGGTGGGGGTAAGTTGTTCCACACCTTCACACCATGATATTTTACGGAGGTCTGGGACTGAGAGGAGCGCATGGGGGTGGTCTTGGTCTTGGTAGCTCTGGGTGCCTTAAGTTGTATCTCTGATTATTCTGGAGCTGGAAATAATTATTGTCAAGCAAGTGATTGATAGATTTGTAAACAAAGAGGGCACAGCAATAGGTGTTAATATCTTCGAATTTTAAAATGTTCAATAAAGCAAATTTTTCGTTTGTGTGATCTGTTTTTTCAAGTAGGTCATGGTCCGTACAACTCTCTTTTGTGCAGTAACCAGAGATTGTGTTTTTGAAGAGCCAGAGGCCCCCCATAGTGTGTGTGAAAGTGTATCAGGTGTTGGTAAACAAGATCATGATAGATTTCTTTCATTGCTGTGAGAGTGAGTGACTGTCGAGTGTGATACATGCTACCGCACTGTTTATCGACTTTACTGTGAATGGCTTGTATGTGGTTTCTCCAGTTAAGTTTCTCAACACCAATAACTCCTAGGAATTTAGTATTTTGTTTGCGTTTGAGGACTGTATTACCAAGGCACAGGGGGTCCAAGTCTGGGGGTAAGTTTTTCCTTCCGTGAAAGATCGTGTAGTGGGTTTTCTCAAGGTTTAAGGTCAGTTTATTACGTATTAACCAGGTCCTGACTTAAGCCAATTCAGTGTTCATAGTTCTCATCATGGAATGGAGGTCTGAGTTGCTGGCATAGAGATTACTATCGTCTGCAAATAAGTTGTATTTTATGAGTGCTGGCGTAGACTATGTCGTTTATGTACAACAAAAACAGTACTGGATCGAGAATGGAACCTTGGGGGACGCCATACAAGATTGGCGAGGAGTCAGATTGGTGATTATTATATCAGACATACTGCATCCTGTTGGACAGATATGAGGTAAACCAATTGTGGGACAGGCCCCTAACGCCGTAATTTTCAAGTTTTGAAAGGAGGATGGTATGGTCGGCAGTATCGAAGGCTTTAGAGAGGTCCAAGAATATACCGACTGTGAACTGATTGTCATCAAAGGAATTTAGGGTGTCATTAGTAAAGGATAGCAGAGCACTCTCAGTCGACCTTCTAGCTCCAAATCCAAACTGGGAGTCTGTAAAGATGTTATTGGCATTGCAGAAGGAATTTAGTCTATTACATGCTAGCTTTTCCAGTATCTTACTCGAGGCTGGGAGGACTGATATGGGGAATTAATTCTTGAGGAGACCTTTGTCCCCCAGATTTTTTATATGCTGGGTGAACTTTAGCAATTTTCAGTTTATCAGGAAAGACACCACTCGTGAAGGAGGAGTTACAAATGTGGAGGAGAACAGGTAGTAATAAGTGGGCTACTTTCTTAATGATGCTCATTGGTATATTGTCTTCGCCTGCTGTTGCATCTTTGGACATTTTTATGATGGCCAGTAATTCATCTGCTGTGACAGGGAATAAGAACAGCTCATTTTGCTGTCTGTTTTGCAGGTAGGCTCTAAATTCCTCATGGTGATCAGGGATGCTCTCTGCAAGATTTTTGTCAACATTAATAAAATATTCATTGAAGTGGTTGGCAATGGGGGTCCGTTACAACAGGAGGTGAATAAAAGCTTCTATATTCTGTCAATATACTGAGGGCGAGTAAAAGCATCAGTTTATACCTACTACCTCTGTAAGGTTTGTGTGGTGTGGTCATCACCGAGACGCCCATCTGAGGCCATTTGTTTATCAAGCACGTACATGACGTCTTTGGGAGATTACTGAATAGTTGAACGAACTTACAGAACAGTCTTCTTTTCTCCTCGTATAAATATAAGGCACCAATTTGAGTGCCTGTATATCTGGATAAAAACTATTTTATACAGTGCGACCAACCGAGTATAGCGACCATGTGTACAATATGAATTGAAAGCAATATTTTTTATCCCAGTGCCATCTTACAACTTCCAGCTTGTTATCGTGCTCTTGGCAGGACGAGTACTAAGTAACTATCATCCAGTGTCTTCTTACACAGCGCCGCCGCCGCTGCTACTGTATCCAGCCGTCCACATGTGGATGCTGTGTGGGCCTTGTCAATAAAAGAGTGATCTAGCAGGTGTTACTCGGTCTTAACGAGCTATGTGAGTCTGACTGGCGAAGAATGTCGATGGAACGTTCCATTTAAAATTGCTTATATATTAAAAGTTAATCTAAATACAGTGTTATGTTCTTATGTTCTTATGTGATGTAATGTTTGTGCTCTCTACTGTGTACACAACTGTCTTGTTAATATGAAAAATGAACAAATATTTTTCTGGGTTACTCCTCTATGATTTTATGTTTGGTAATAAGAAAAAAAATACCACTATTTATGGTTTACTTCACTTTCAATCATTAACTTTCTGATTTAAATGAAAGTGTGGATTTGTAATAGAACTGTAGAGTGGTCGTGTCGATTAAGAAGTTTGTAACCAGGTGAGAAGGCCGGGTCACCTGACCACCAACCGTTGTGTGCTATTTAAAGATTAGTAGGGTCATTACCTAATGCCTGACCATTGTGGACCTGGTCTCACCCTCCTCTGTATATATACACCTTGGTTTGTATTTCTCTCTCTAGTCTGTACTCACCGCTGAAGATGTGAATTACACGAAAGCGCTTGGGAACTTCGTGTTTTCTTCTTTCCTTGTGGTTATCAGCATATATATATATATATATATATATATATATATATATATATATATATATATATATATATATATATATATATATATATATATATATATATATATATATATATATATATATATATATATATATATATATATATATATATATATATATATATATATATATATATATATATATATATATATATATATATATATATATATATATATATATATATATATATATATATATATATATATATATATATATATATATATATATATATATATATATGGCGAGTATTTGTGGGATAGTCATACATAAAGGTTACTTCATATTTAATAATATTATTACATTAAAGAAGCTCACATAAAATACCCTGTTCTTAAATACAAGTTACTACCATCTATATCGAGAGTCTAAGCGTAAGTCGGGGCTGGTTGGTAGGTTTGGGCAGGGGGGCCGTAGGTAGGAGCTGGGGTGTAGGAGGGCTGGGGTGCTGGGTACTTAGCGTCACCCTCGAAAGTCACTTCGGCCACAAAGCCGGAGTCTCCGTTGACAGTGTAGTCCACCTTCTGCAGACGACCGTCGGGAAGCAGCACGTAGTAGGAGCCTTGGGTGTCGTAGCCGTCACGGGTCTCCTGGTGGCCGAAGTCTGTGTCATAATGGTCCTTCACTTCCCAGCTGAAGTCGTATTTAGGAGGAGACTGAAAATTAAATCACAATATGAATTATTTGGTCTTATGTTTTGTGTAATATTTGTAAAAAATAAACAAGGCTGTTACATATCTGTAGATATTTTCTCGATGATCTTCACCAGAAAAATATAGAGAGAATTAACCAAACCTTTACTCGTGATCATTTTGGTGACAAAGTATGTGTGGCACTCACCACTGGTGCGGGGGTGCCGTAAGCTGGGGCAGGAGCTGGAGCACCGTAGGTGGGGGGAGGGGGTGGAGGAGGAGGTGGGGCACCGTAGGTGGGTGGAGGAGGTGGGGGAGGGGGTGGTGGAGGAGGTGGAGCACCGTAGGTTGGTGGAGGAGGAGGTGGGGGGGGAGGAGGAACGCCGTAGGTCCTGACAGGGCGATTTTCAGGTAGGGCGAGGGTGACCGCCACAAGGGCAGACACTACAAGAACCTGTAGAAACAGTTTATTTTATTACAAGATTCACATCACACACATTGGCTGTATTTCAGTAACATGACAGTAAACCAGACGGGAACCTGTAGTGAGGAACACTAAGAAGATCCCACTAAAGTTCTATAACTTGTTTTGATGTAACAATAGGAAGACGCACCTTGAGAGCCATAGTGAAGCTGCGACGGTTGAAGTCAAGTGAAGAACAGAGATGGTCGCCCACGTTATATAGTGGCGGGGTGATCCAAGGCCCAGCCCGCAACATGAGGTCATGAGGCACTGAGTAGGTGGGGCTTGTGCCACCTTCAGGGTCATGGTTAACCTGGAGGCCTCATTCTTCGCCGAGTCTCTCTTTGCTATTTGCAAGTAGAAATATTGTTGTTCAAGACTATATGTTTCGTGTTAACTTTGATGAGTAACATTGATTCCTTGATGATTATTTTGATGGTGAAGAAGACTTTGCCAGATGGAGTTGTAATTGAGGGTAAATTTTGTTTAGGTCAATCAATATTTTGGTTGCAGTTCATTGTCACTGTTGTTTGTTCGTCCATAGAAGTTAAAACAGAGCCATTATTTGATATAGTTCGGCTTTTTTGTCACCAAAGTATGAATTATCTCCTTCTAAACATGGACTACATGCATTATAACAATAATGTTAATGAGAACAATAATACTAATAATAATAATAATAATAATAATAATAACAACTACGACTACATCTACTACCACTAAAACCACTACCTAATTCTACTACTACTACTTTTTTTTTTTTTTTTTTACATGGCCTCCAGCCTCCCCCAATAGCCACACCTTCGCCACCATTTATTTACCTTAATATTAAATATCCTAATACATAAGAAGCTATCCTATCTGTGTTAAATTAGTTGAGCCACAGATCTATGCGGCATTCAGTGACTGTAGCCTCATAGTCAATATCTGCAGCAGTTGTCGGAGTAGGGGCAGAAGCTCTCGTTCCCCTGAGGCAGAGCAAAGCCGACCGAAGGAGAGAGAAGGACAGTCGACATCTCATCCAGGCTGTAACATAACTTCTGGGCTGCTGCTTCTGTTCGGAGATCAACTCCGCGAGTCTGGCGTAGAAACATCTTGCACTTGGGCCCATCCCACCAGAGGTTGTGAACACTAGAGGAGTGAAGCTGCCTTGATCAACGTTTTGAATTCTCTCCCCATATGCCCTTCTCTTGTCGTTCTCGTTCCTCCTATGTGCAGCATCGAGAGCTAGGTTACGGTGACATGCGGCCATGGGATCAAAAATCCTGATGTCGAAGAAAGCTCGCTGTCCCCGCGTCCAGAATCCTCGAGCACTGACGTCCACACGGGCTTCGTTAGATGTGTTTGAAGTCCTGTGTTGGAAGATCTCACCATCCAATGGAAGGAGGGTCGGTTCTACCATGACATCCCGGCAGATTTCCTTCAACATATTTGCTGTGAGGTCCCTTACCTCGTCATGCCTCATGCATATGAAGCCCCCCTTCTTGCACACCATGGCGTGATCGCCATCATAGGAAGAGCCACACACGCATTGGGAGGGCAAACCTTCTACTGGCCGACCGTACCTTAGAGCAATGGCATCTGTAAATTCTTGTTTATTAAGACTGAAACCATTTGCCCTTATCGGTAACGTAGTTAACCAGTTCGAGGCGCCCACCTCCTGCGCTATAGCTACTTTTTTTTTTCAAATTTTCTGGTACCTGCAGCAATAGTTGCTGCTACTTATCATTTTGGCAGTGCTGTCGATCTGTCGTAATGGACCTACGAATCTTATTTACTTCACTGGTATCCACTTCCCCTGTTGCATTCTGGGCTATTATGTGGTCCGTGAGGGCTGCCGTGAGCTTAAGTGAATTTTGATGTTCAGTGGCAGCAATCTCCTCTGGATTTGTTAGTCCCATCCCTCCCAGTCTTGGTGGAAGTGCAAGAAGTGCTCTTTCTGCTGGGGTTAAGTCAGGGTGTTTCAATAATTTGGGAATGAACTTGACACTGATAGCTTCTTCCAGAGGGTGGAGGAGGGGTCCGATATCAGGGATAGTACGCATCAGGTAGTTTCAACGATGCTTGACTCCATGGGTGAATGCAGCAAAGGCCGAATTTGGCTCTGTGTTAGCAATCTCAGAGCTTGGATTTCACTAACCCACTCATTCACCTTTCCCGCTATGTACTTGGTCTTGAAGTCCGTAGTGCCAATTACTGCACCTAGATGTCTTTGGCCGTCCTTAGTTATTTTGACCTCACTTCCGCCAAAAACCTCCCATGCCCGTTCATAATGTTCTGGCTTCACGATGAAGAAGGACTTGCTGGCGTTTGGGTGGTACCCTATTTGTGGACCTCGCGATGTTACCAAGTCCCACCACTTTTTGATGCCCTCCACTTTTCCTGCTCCTGTAAGGTCATCAGCATATGCCACTTGTTTGACCCCAGTTGTATCAAATAATGGATTATACTAGAGATGAATAAGGTCTTTTCTTTAGTATACTGGAGGTTAGTATGGGCTTCAATATACTGGAGGTCAGAAAGGGCTTCAATATACTGGAGGTCAGTAAGGGGTTCAGTATACTGGAGATTAGTAAGGGCTTCTATGCACTGGAGGTTAGTAAGGGCTTCAATATACTGGAGATTAGTAAGGGCTTCTATACACTGGAGGTTAGTAAGGGCTTCAGTATACTGGAGGTCAGTAAGGGCTTCAATACACTGGAGGTCAGTAAGGGCTTCATTATACTGGAGATTAGTAAGGGCTTCTATACACTGGAGGTTAGTAAGGGCTTCAGTATACTGGAGGTCAGTAAGGGCTTCATTATACTGGAGATTAGTAAGGGCTTCTATACACTGGAGGTTAGTAAGGGCTTCAGAATACTGCAGATGAATAATGGTTTCAGTTTACTGGAGGTGAATAAAAGCTTCTATATACTGTCAATATACTGAGGGTGAGTAAAATCATCAGTTTATACCTACTACCTCTGTAAGGTGTGTGTGATAGGTTATCGCCGAGACGCCCATCTGAGGCCATTTGTTTATCAAGCACGTACATGACGTCTTTGGGAGATTACTGAATAGTGGAACGAACTTACAGAACAGTCTGCTTTTCTCCTCGTATAAATATAAGGCACCAATTTGAGTGCCTGTATATCTGGATAAAAACTATTTTATACAGTGCGACCAACCGAGTATAGCGACCATGTGTGCAATATGAATTGAAAGCAATATTTTTTACCCCAGTGCCATCTTACAACTTCCAACTTGTCGTTATCGTGCTCTTGGCAGGACGAGTACTAAGTAACTATCATCCAGTGTCTTCTTACACAGCGCCGCCGCCGCTGCTACTGTATCCAGCCGTCCACATGTGGATGCTGTGTGGGCCTTGTCAATAAAAGAGTGATCTAGCAGGTGTTACTCGGTCTTAACGAGCTATGTGAGTCTGACTGGCGAAGAATGTAGATGGAACGTTCCATTTAAAATTGCTTATAATATTAAAAGTGAATCTAAATACAGTGTTATGGTACATGTGAAGGCGTGATGTAATGTTTGTGCTCTCTACTGTGTACACAACTGTCTTGTTAATACGAAAAATGAACAAATATTTTTCTGGGTTACTCCTCTATGATTTTATGTTTGGTAATAAGAAAAAAACCCGTTGTATTTATGGTTTACTTCACTGTAAATCATTAACTTTCTGATTTAAATGAAAGTGGGATTTGTACTAGAGCGGTAGAGTGCTCGTGTCGATTAAGTATTTAGAGCGCCTCTTTCTTCAGACAACCTGGCCTCGGTACCTTGTATAGTTAAACAAACAGGGTTCTTTTATATATATATATTTATATATATATATATATATATATATATATATATATATATATATATATATATATATATATATATATATATATATATATATATAGCTAGTGTTTGCGGGATAGTCATACATAAAGGTTACTTCATATTAAATAATATTATTACATTAAAGAAGCTCACATAAAATACCCTGTTCTTAAATACAAGTTACTACCATCTATATCGAGAGTCTAAGCGTAAGTCGGGGCTGGTTGGTAGGTTTGGGCAGGGGGGCCGTAGGTAGGAGCTGGAGCTGGGGTGTAGGAGGGCTGGGGTGCTGGGTACTTAGTGTCACCCTCGAAAGTCACTTCGGCCACAAAGCCGGAGTCTCCGTTGACAGTGTAGTCCACCTTCTGCAGACGACCGTCGGGAAGCAGCACGTAGTAGGAGCCTTGGGTGTCGTAGCCGTCACGGGTCTCCTGGTGGCCGAAGTCTGTGTCATAATGGTCCTTCACTTCCCAGCTGAAGTCGTATTTAGGAGGAGACTGAAAATTAAATCACAATATGAGTTATTTGGTCTTATGTTTTGTGTAATATTTGTAAAAAATAAACAAGGCTGTTACATATCTGTAGTTATTTTCTCGATGATCTTCACCAGAAAAATATAGAGAGAATTAACCAAACCTTTACTCGTGATCATTTTGGTGACAAAGTATGTGTGGCACTCACCACTGGTGCGGGGGTGCCGTAAGCTGGGGCAGGAGCTGGAGCACCGTAGGTGGGGGGAGGGGGTGGAGGAGGAGGTGGGGCACCGTAGGTGGGTGGAGGAGGAACGCCGTAGGTCCTGACAGGACGATTTTCAGGTAGGGCGAGGGTGACCGCCACAAGGGCAGACACTACAAGAACCTGTAGAAACAGTTTATTTTATTACAAGATTCACATCACACACATTGGCTGTATTTCAGTAACATGACAGTAAACCAGACGGGAACCTGTAGTGAGGAACACTAAGAAGATCCCACTAAAGTTCTATAACTTGTTTTGATGTAACAATAGGAAGACGCACCTTGAGAGCCATAGTGAAGCTGCGACGGTTGAAGTCAAGTGAAGAACAGAGATGGTCGCCCACGTTATATAGTGGCGGGGTGATCCAAGGCCCAGCCCGCAACATGAGGTCATGAGGCACTGAGTAGGTGGGGCTTGTGCCACCTTCAGGGTCATGGTTAACCTGGAGGCCTCATTCTTCGCCGAGTCTCTCTTTGCTATTTGCAAGTAGAAAATATTGTTGTTCATGACTATATGTTTCGTGTTAACTTTGATGAGTAACATTGATTCCTTGATGGTGAAGAAGACTTTGCCAGATGGAGTTGCAATTGAGGGTAAATTTTGTTTAGGTCAATCAATATTTTGGTTGCAGTTCATTGTCACTGTTGTTTGTTCGTCCATAGAAGTTAAAACAGAGCCATTATTTGATATAGTTCGGCTTTTTTGTCACCAAAGTATGAATTATCTCCTTCTAAACATGGACTACATGCATTATAACAATAATGTTAATGAGAACAATAATACTAATAATAATAATAATAATAATAATAATAACAACTACGACTACATCTACTACCACTAAAACCACTACCTAATTCTACTACTACTACTTTTTTTTTTTTTTTTTTACATGGCCTCCAGCCTCCCCCAATAGCCACACCTTCGCCACCATTTATTTACCTTAATATTAAATATCCTAATACATAAGAAGCTATCCTATCTGTGTTAAATTAGTTGAGCCGCAGATCTATGCGGCATTCAGTGACTGTAGCCTCATAGTCAATATCTGCAGCAGTTGTCGGAGTAGGGGCAGAAGCTCTCGTTCCCCTGAGGCAGAGCAAAGCCGACCGAAGGAGAGAGAAAGACAGTCGACATCTCATCCAGGCTGTAACATAACTTCTGGGCTGCTGCTTCTGTTCGGAGATCAACTCCGCGAGTCTGGCGTAGAAACATCTTGCACTTGGGCCCATCCCACCATAGGTTGTGAACACTAGAGGAGTGAAGCTGCCTTGATCAACGTTTTGAATTCTCTCCCCATATGCCCTTCTCTTGTCGTTCTCGTTCCTCCTATGTGCAGCATCGAGAGCTAGATTACGGTGACATGCGGCCATGGGATCAAAAATCCTGATGTCGAAGAAAGCTCGCTGTCCCCGCGTCCAGAATCCTCGAGCACTGACGTCCACACGGGCTTCGTTAGATGTGTTTGAAGTCCTGTGTTGGAAGATCTCACCGTCCAATGGAAGGAGGGTCGGTTCTACCATGACATCCCGGCAGATTTCCTTCAACATATTTGCTGTGAGATCCCTTACCTCGTCATGCCTCATGCATATGAAGCCCCCCTTCTTGCACACCATGGCGTGATCGCCATCATAGGAAGAGCCACACACGCATTGGGAGGGCAAACCTTCTACTGGCCGACCGTACCTTAGAGCAATGGCATCTGTAAATTCTTGTTTATTAAGACTGAAACCATTTGCCCTTATCGGTAACGTAGTTAACCAGTTCGAGGCGCCCACCTCCTGCGCTATAGCTACTTTTTTTTTCAAATTTTCTGGTACCTGCAGCAATAGTTGCTGCAACTTATCATTTTGGCAGTGCTGTCGATCTGTCGTAATGGACCTACGAATCTTATTTACTTCACTGGTATCCACTTCCCCTGTTGCATTCTGGGCTATTATGTGGTCCGTGAGGGCTGCCGTGAGCTTAAGTGAATTTTGATGTTCAGTGGCAGCAATCTCCTCTGGATTTGTTAGTCCCATCCCTCCCAGTCTTGGTGGAAGTGCAAGAAGTGCTCTTTCTGCTGGGGTTAAGTCAGGGTGTTTCAATAATTTGGGAATGAACTTGACACTGATAGCTTCTTCCAGAGGGTGGAGGAGGGGTCCGATATCAGGGATAGTACGCATCAGGTAGTTTCAACGATGCTTGACTCCATGGGTGAATGCAGCAAAGGCCGAATTTGGCTCTGTGTTAGCAATCTCAGAGCTTGGATTTCACTAACCCACTCATTCACCTTTCCCGCTATGTACTTGGTCTTGAAGTCCGTAGTGCCAATTACTGCACCTAGATGTCTTTGGCCGTCCTTAGTTATTTTGACCTCACTTCCGCCAAAAACCTCCCATGCCCGTTCATAATGTTCTGGCTTCACGATGAAGAAGGACTTGCTGGCGTTTGGGTGGTACCCTATTTGTGGACCTCGCGATGTTACCAAGTCCCACCACTTTTTGATGCCCTCCACTTTTCCTGCTCCTGTAAGGTCATCAGCATATGCCACTTGTTTGACCCCAGTTGTATCAAATAATGGATTATACTAGAGATGAATAAGGTCTTTTCTTTAGTATACTGGAGGTTAGTATGGGCTTCAATATACTGGAGGTCAGAAAGGGCTTCAATATACTGGAGGTCAGTAAGGGGTTCAGTATACTGGAGATTAGTAAGGGCTTCTATGCACTGGAGGTTAGTAAGGGCTTCAATATACTGGAGATTAGTAAGGGCTTCTATACACTGGAGGTTAGTAAGGGCTTCAGTATACTGGAGGTCAGTAAGGGCTTCAATACACTGGAGGTCAGTAAGGGCTTCATTATACTGGAGATTAGTAAGGGCTTCTATACACTGGAGGTTAGTAAGGGCTTCAGTATACTGGAGGTCAGTAAGGGCTTCATTATACTGGAGATTAGTAAGGGCTTCTATACACTGGAGGTTAGTAAGGGCTTCAGAATACTGCAGATGAATAATGGTTTCAGTTTACTGGAGGTGAATAAAAGCTTCTATATACTGTCAATATACTGAGGGTGAGTAAAATCATCAGTTTATACCTACTACCTCTGTAAGGTGTGTGTGATAGGTTATCGCCGAGACGCCCATCTGAGGCCATTTGTTTATCAAGCACGTACATGACGTCTTTGGGAGATTACTGAATAGTGGAACGAACTTACAGAACAGTCTGCTTTTCTCCTCGTATAAATATAAGGCACCAATTTGAGTGCCTGTATATCTGGATAAAAACTATTTTATACAGTGCGACCAACCGAGTATAGCGACCATGTGTGCAATATGAATTGAAAGCAATATTTTTTACCCCAGTGCCATCTTACAACTTCCAACTTGTCGTTATCGTGCTCTTGGCAGGACGAGTACTAAGTAACTATCATCCAGTGTCTTCTTACACAGCGCCGCCGCCGCTGCTACTGTATCCAGCCGTCCACATGTGGATGCTGTGTGGGCCTTGTCAATAAAAGAGTGATCTAGCAGGTGTTACTCGGTCTTAACGAGCTATGTGAGTCTGACTGGCGAAGAATGTAGATGGAACGTTCCATTTAAAATTGCTTATAATATTAAAAGTGAATCTAAATACAGTGTTATGGTACATGTGAAGGCGTGATGTAATGTTTGTGCTCTCTACTGTGTACACAACTGTCTTGTTAATACGAAAAATGAACAAATATTTTTCTGGGTTACTCCTCTATGATTTTATGTTTGGTAATAAGAAAAAAACCCGTTGTATTTATGGTTTACTTCACTGTAAATCATTAACTTTCTGATTTAAATGAAAGTGGGATTTGTACTAGAGCGGTAGAGTGCTCGTGTCGATTAAGTATTTAGAGCGCCTCTATATAGCGAGTATTTGCGGGATAGTCATACATAAAGGTTACTTCATATTTAATATTATTATTACATTAAAGAAGCTCACATAAAATACCCTGTTCTTAAATACAAGTTACTACCATCTATATTGAGAGTCTAAGCGTAAGTCGGGGCTGGTTGGTAGGTTTGGGCAGGGGGGCCGTAGGTAGGAGCTGGAGCTGGGGTGTAGGAGGGCTGGGGTGCTGGGTACTTAGTGTCACCCTCGAAAGTCACTTCGGCCACAAAGCCGGAGTCTCCGTTGACAGTGTAGTCCACCTTCTGCAGACGACCGTCGGGAAGCAGCACGTAGTAGGAGCCTTGGGTGTCGTAGCCGTCACGGGTCTCCTGGTGGCCGAAGTCTGTGTCATAATGGTCCTTCACTTCCCAGCTGAAGTCGTATTTAGGAGGAGACTGAAAATTAAATCACAATATGAGTTATTTGGTCTTATGTTTTGTGTAATATTTGTAAACAATAAACAAGGCTGTTACATATCTGTAGTTATTTTCTCGATGATCTTCACCAGAAAAATATTGAGAGAATTAACCAAACCTTTACTCGTGATCATTTTGGTGACAAAGTATGTGTGGCACTCACCACTGGTGCGGGGGTGCCGTAAGCTGGGGCAGGAGCTGGAGCACCGTAGGTGGGGGGAGGGGGTGGAGGAGGAGGTGGGGCACCGTAGGTGGGTGGAGGAGGTGGGGGAGGGGGTGGTGGAGGAGGTGGAGCACCGTAGGTAGGTGGAGGAGGAGGTGGGGGGGGAGGAGGAACGCCGTAGGTCCTGACAGGACGATTTTCAGGTAGGGCGAGGGTGGCCGCCACAAGGGCAGACACTACAAGAACCTGTAGAAACAGTTTATTTTATTACAAGATTCACATCACACACATTGGCTGTATTTCAGTAACATGACAGTAAACCAGACGGGAACCTGTAGTGAGGAACACTAAGAAGATCCCACTAAAGTTCTATAACTTGTTTTGATGTAACAATAGGAAGACGCACCTTGAGAGCCATAGTGAAGCTGCGACGGTTGAAGTCAAGTGAAGAACAGAGATGGTCGCCCACGTTATATAGTGGCGGGGTGATCCAAGGCCCAGCCCGCAACATGAGGTCATGAGGCACTGAGTAGGTGGGGCTTGTGCCACCTTCAGGGTCATGGTTAACTTGGAGGCCTCATTCTTCGCCGAGTCTCTGTTTGCTATTTGTAAGTAGAAATATTGTTGTTCAAGACTATATGTTTCGTATTAAGTTTGATGAGTAACATTGATTCCGTGATGATTATTTTGATGGTGAAGAAGACTTTGCCAGATGGAGTTGTAATTGAGGGTAAATTTTGTATAAACCAATCAACATTTTGTTTGCAGTTCATTGTCACTGTTGTTTGTTCGTCCATAAAAGTTAAAACAGAGCCATTACTTGATACATTTCGTTTTTTTTGTCGCCGCCATTTTATTACCTTAAAGTTATATATCCTAATAGAAAAGTGTCTTGCATAGAAACATCTTGCACTTGGTCCCTTCCCACCACAAGTTGTGAACACCAGAGGAGTGAAGCTGCCTTCATCCACATTCTGAATTCTCTGGCCTTACACTCCGTTCTTGCTTTCATGTTTCTCTTATGTGGAGCATCGAGAGCTTGGTTACAGTGACATGCGGCCATGGGGTCGAAAATCCTCAAATTAAAGAAGGCTCGCTGTCCCCGCAACGAGAATCATGGAACACTGATGTCCACACGGGCTTTGTTGGATGTGTTGGAAGTCCTGTGATAGAGATTCTCACCATCCATTGGAAGGAGGGTCTGTTCCACCGTGACATCATGGCAGATTTCCTTCAACATATTTGCTGTGAGATCCCTTACTTCGTCATGTCTCATGCATATGAAGCCACCCTTATTGCACAACATGGCGCGGTCGATGTGGTAGGATGAGCCACTCACGCATTGGGAAAGCAAACCTTTTACTGGCCAACCATACCTTACAGTCATGGCATCTGTAAATTCTTGTTTATTAAGGCCGAAACCTTTTGCCATTATTGGTAACGTTGTTAGCCAGTTCGAAGAGCCCACCTCCTGCGCTTAACTGTTTTTTTCTTCAAGTCTTCTGTCAATTGCTACTACTACTACTACTATACTACTACTAAAAATAATAGACTTTAAGGACTACCCCAAGTTGAAATGTAATTTTCACTTTTATTCAACTGGTATTTGGATATGAACACTGTTGCTCTAATGTTTACACACAATTTATCACAATAATTTGTTTTACCATAATATTTACAAGAAAATATACATTACAATAAACTCACACAATCAAGTCGACAGAAGATGTGCTTTGGTACTAAATTGCTCTCATAAATAGGGTAATCATCATCTAGCTAATTAATCTGAACCTTAGTGATATATTTCGTGTTTTAAGGAGATTATTACCTACGTTTTACGCTCGTAAGAAAAGTTAATGGCTGATCTCGGATATTTTAAACCAAAATCGACTTTCAACGTATACAGTATATTTGGTCTCATCTAGTACACAGTATTAATTACGAACTTCAGTATAATCACTTAATAGGCAGTCTTGATAAAATCACACGGGAAAATGGAAACAACGGAGGACCTTAGCTTTCGTCTTTATTCAAGACATCTTCAGAGGCAACTGGATTACATGGACAGAGAGAGGCTTAAATATACAGAGTGACCTAAAAACATGAGGTCAGGTCAAAATGATGACATCCACTAATCCCCACACCAACACACACGTAGAGGAGCTTAAGAGAAGGGTGGTGACGTGACTAGCCAAGTCAGGTCAGAAAAAAGGGACCCACAAAATAACTATCATACATCTAGATCAAAGGTTTTCAAAGCATTTTTAACCTTGGGCCACTGACAAATAAATTTATGTAACATATTATCAGTTTTGAACTGACCATCACTAAGGTTTATTGATTTTAATTCCTTAATCAAACTAGCTTCAACAAGAAGTCTTTCTGTGACACAAGATGATTTGAATACTTCTAAGCTTTTTTCCCAAGCAATGGGGTGATTATTATTCCTAACATGAACGAACAAGGCACTGCTTTCAGATGCAGTTCTGATATTATAGACAGTATGCTGAGTGAGAATACTTGTGTACTTCTTTAGTATCCTAGAGGAGTGCTGGGTCATGGTCAAGACATTCACTAACTTGTTATATCATACGCGCACTTAGATCAATCTCAATTGATTACTAAATGTCAAATCAACTGAATAGAACAGTCTCTGGAGGGAGTGTCACCTGCAACAACGTACATAACATAAAACTATAAAAGTAATAGATGTAAATACACTATGAGGTGAGAGACGATGGTAGTAAAAAAAGAGAGAGTGATGTAGAACAATAGTGAAAAGGGAGGGAGAGGAGGAGGAGGGGGAAGAGGTATATTGGCTTATGGGAGGGAGGTCAGTTTTTGCTTGGATCGAGCGCATGAATGCATCTTCAACTCAACCAGGAGGGAATTCGTACTCTGTCCCTTTCTCCTCCTCCTCACTGCTAATGCTACAACCCCCTCTTTCTCCCCCTCATCCTCCTACCCGTCCTCCTCCTCCTCTTCTTTAGTCTTTCTTTTCTCTACTCTCCCTTCTCTCTTTCTAGGCTTCCCTCCCTCCTCCTTTCTCCTATCTCCTTTCTTCTCTTTCTTAGTCAGTAGGGAAGGACTTCAAGGCTTTTTGACTCTTCATCTCCTCTCCCTTCTTCTTTATATTCACCTGTCTCCTTCTCTTATATTTTTGTCTATTCTTCCCTATCCCCATCTTTCCTTTTCATCTTTCCCTCTTTATTGCCTTTCACCTTTTCGCTGGCGTGAGAGAGAGAGAGAGAGAGAGAGAGAGAGAGAGAGAGAGAGGCGTCATGATGGTATGTATCTTCAACACGTTCTCCTTGGTGGGATGGTCTCGTTCTGCTGGCTTACTGCCACACAGTCCACCACTCTTTATCACCGTTCACACCTGGCGTTTTCACCTGCGTTGGTCAACTCTATGAACGACTTGCCTGGCTGACTGATATGCTGGCTGACTGATGATGGACTGACTGATTAAGCGACTCTCTTACTGAATGCTGGATAAACTGATTAACTGACTGATTTAATACTTCTCCGCATGACTGACTGACTGACTGCCTGACTGAATAATTAAATATCTTCAGTGACTAACCTGATTAATTATCTAAACGATTCACAGACTAACTGACTGACTTCAAATCAATAATTACTATCACACTTACTTCTTTTTGTCTTAACATTTTATCTTTTCCTTTCATGTTCGGAGTGACGACGAACGCGCGCCTGAATGACTTTTGTTAATGACAGATACGATTCAACCTGTGTACGAAATGATGAGCAGATATAGTGTATATGCAGGAGGGAGAAAATGAGGTTAGGTTAGGTTAGGTTTAGTTTGTGTATGCTGTCTTAATTGGTTAGGTTAGGTTAGGTTAGTTTAGACTAGACTAGGTTAGATTAAATTGGGTGAGGTTAGGTTAGATTAGGTTAGGTTTGGTTTGGTTGGTTTGTGTATGCTGTCATTAAGGGCTATTCTCTCCACGCACATACACACACCACCACCACCCACCCACCCACCCACTACTCCACTACTACTACTACTTAAATGGCCTCCATCTTCCCCCTATAGCCACACCTTCGCCGCCATTTTATTACCTTAAAATTAAATATCCTATTACATAAGTAGCTATCCTAGCTGTGTTGAGTTGGTTGAGCCGCAGATCTATGTGGCATTCAGTGACTGTAGCCTCATAGTCAATATCTGCAACTGTTGTCGGCTTTGGGGCCGATGCTCTCGTTCCCCTGAGGCAGAGCAAAGCCGACCTAAGGGGAGAGAAGGACAGTCGACATCTCCTCCAGGCTGTGACATAACTTCTGGGCTGCTGCTTCTGTTCGGAGATCACCTCCGCGAGTCTGGCGTAGAAGCATCTTGCACTTGGTCCCATCCCACCAGAGGTTGTGAACACTAGAGGAGTGAAGCTGCCTTGATCAACGTTATGAATTCTCTACTACTACTACTACTACTACTACTACTACTACTACTACTACTACTACTACTACTACTACTACTACTACTACTACTACGTGGCCTCCAGCCTCCCCCAATAGCCACACCTTCGCCACCATTTATTTACCTTAATATTAAATATCCTAATACATAAGAAACTATCCTATCTGTGTTAAATTAGTTGAGCCGCAGATCCATGCGGCATTCAGTGACTGTAGCCTCATAGTCGATATCTGCAGCAGTTGTCGGAGTAGGGGCAGAAGCTCTCGTTCCCCTGAGGCAGAGCAAAGCCGACCGAAGGAGAGAGAAGGACAGTCGACATCTCATCCAGGCTGTGACATAACTTCTGGGCTGCTGCTTCTGTTCGGAGATCAGCTCCGCGAGTCTGGCGTAGAAACATCTTGCACTTGGGCCCATCCCACCAGAGGTTGTGAACACTAGAGGAGTGAAGCTGCCTTGATCCACATTTTGAATTCTCTCCCCATATGCCCTTCTCTTGTCGTTCTCGTTCCTCCTATGCGCAGCATCGAGAGCTAGGTTACGGTGACAAACGGCCATGGGATCAAAAATCCTGATGTCGAAGAAAGCTCGCTGTCCCCGCGTCCAGAATCCTCGAGCACTGACGTCCACACGGGCTTCGTTAGATGTGTTTGAAGTCCTGTGTTGGAAGATCTCGCCATCCAGTGGAAGGAGGGTCGGTTCTACCATGACGTCCCGGCAGATTTCCTTCAACATATTTGCTGTGAGATCCCTTACCTCGTCATGCCTCATGCATATGAAGCCCCCCTTCTTGCAAACCATGGCGTGATCGCCATCATAGGAATAGCCACACTACTACTACTACTACTACTACTACTACTACTACTACTACTACTACTACTACTTTGCTGTCACTCGGAATCGAGTATGACGATCATCCAGCTATGATACAATGATATGAGTTATCATGGATGTCACCTTCATTAGTGAGTTTTGAGGTGATTAAAGAGGCCGATATGGGACCGGCAGAATTGTTCACAGATGTTGCACATGTGAAGGGCTACATCGAGTGCGGGAGGAGTGGTGGA